AATCATCGCCCCCCTTAGCCAAGTAGATTTTCTAAAGGTGCTCTAGCCTTTGTCTTTTTAAACATAATAAAAACGCACTGGCAATCAATAGAATCCCTGGCAAATAATTTTGGTACATTGTGTAGTTATTAAAAAGAACAGGGCCAGCTCTAACTGAATTTATATAGAACAATCTCCAAGATATACTAAGTGAAAAAAAATGGAAAGGTGTCAATTAATGAATATAGTAAGTCCCATTTGTAGAAATAGAAAAGTACGTCCGGGGTTGTGGATTATCTCTAGAAGGTGAAACGTGATATTGATAACAGTGGTTGCCTCTGGAAAGCAGAACGGGGGGGGGGGGGGAGGCCTGAGGTTTGGCAGTGGGAGGGGGTTGTACATTTCAAATTATTGGTCATACTAGAGGCCTGGTGCACGAATTCGTGCACAGGTGGGGTCCCTCGGCCTGGCTGGCGATTGGGGCCTATGGGGGCCGGCAGGCGGGGGAGGGGCTGCGGGAGGGCTCCAGGGCATGTCCAGCTCTCTCACCCAGTCCCGATCAGCTGGACCACAGCAGCAAGCTAACCTAAGGTCAGAGCATCTGCCCCCTGGTGGTCAGTGCACATCATAGCGACTGGTCGAGCAGTCGACTGAATGGTTGACCAATCGGTCGGACACTTAGCATATTATGCTTTATTATATAGGATATTACCTATGAACAAAAAATAAAATTCAAAAGAACTTTAAAAAGTAAAACTAAAATTTTGAAAACTTTAAAAGTTCCACCTAAAGATGCAGGACAGGTGGATAGAAGGGAGTCAGTTTGTAACATGCAGTTTTGCTCTGCAATGGCACACGGCCCTCTGTGTTTTCACCTGCAGGCCTGCAGCTGACAGTGTCCAATGAGAGTTTCGTCTTCGATAACGTCACCATCTCCCTGATGTGGCTCTTCTCTCCCTACACTGGAAACCTGTCCTGTATCATTATCATGGGGGATGGCCACACTTTTGATCCCTACTACCCCCCCCCCCAGGTAAGAGGAATCTCTGAGCCTTGATTCAGGATGTTATCAAGTCAATTTTTGCTGCATAACAAAACATCCCAAAACTTAGAATAGTATTTATTATTTGGCATGCGTCCAGTGGTCAGCTTATCGTCAGCGAGGAGCATGTGTTGCTCATCACCCAATAGGCCAGCTCAGGCTCACTCGAGTGGTGGCAGAACAGTTTCTAGCAGCAAGTGAGAGCAAGGCCCAATGTGCAGGCATATTTCAAATCTACGTGGGTCACATTTTTTAATGATCCATTGGCCAAAGCGAGTTTCATGGCCACGCCCAGATTCAACAGGTAGAGAAACAGACTATACCTGTTGATGGAAGAAATAGCAGAGCCATAGCACAAAGGGGCACGCATATGGGAATGGGAGAAATGGATGCTCACCTGTTTCTCATTATGGAAGCCACACGAACAGGCACGGAGAGCTGGTCCTTCTGGCTTGGTGCTGTGTAGAGTCTCTCCAGGGTCACTGTCTGAGGAGTCGGTAATGGGGTAAAGAAGATGCTCACCTGGGAGTGCTTTTCATTGGAAGGATTATAAAAGTAATAGTAACAATATTCATAATAGTCCAGCCTGGCAGCTTCACACATAATCTCACTAGAGCTGTGCTGTCTAATGTAACAGCCACTCACCATGTGAGCTACTGAGCAAGTGACATGTGGCTGTTCTCAGTTAAGATGGGCTGTAAATGTAAAGTACACATGGGATTTTCAAGACTGAGTTCCCCCATCCGCCCAAAATGAATGTAAATATCTCACTAACATTTTTTTTCTCACTAATCATTTTTATATTGATTACACATTGAAATGATAGTACTTTGGATGTATTGTGTTAAAATAAATTAAAATTAACTTCACCTGTTTCTTACTTTTTTCAGTGTGGCTATTAGAAAATTTAAAATTACACATGTGGCTACTACTATTTGTATTGGATGGTGCTGAGCTAGATAATCATTATCTTGTTTTCACAAAGGTACAGTGGTGTTGCCCAAGCCACACAACGCTGTGACGCAGTCAGGACTGTCTAGCCTTGAAGGGAGCTTAGGCTCTGAGGTCCCTGGTGGATTATACAGCGCATTGTATCTGGGCCTGAGAGCACTGCCCCCGCCCCCAACTCCCCCCCTCCCACACACACATCCTCCAGGAAACAGTTACCTCCCCAACCTGAGAGTAGCTAAACCCAACTCATAGTATTTCAAAGTCCTACCTGGGCCTGGGTAAGCTCCGATGCCCCAGCAGGAGGGTGCCCCAGACTGTTTCAGAAAATCTAGGTCCTCTTTGGATTCTGAGGCTCCTTATAGGGACCCCCAGTTCAACATGGATTCCCTGGGAAAGCACAGAGGCCCAAAAGCCTCTCTTTGAATCCCCAAATACCTCCAGTTCTTCCCTATGGGAGCTAGAGGTTCTGGCCCCGTGGGTGCCAGCATTCCCAATAGCACTGGTTGCAAATAGGGGGTCAGCCCTGTCCACAGCCCAAAGCTGCTCCAGTGAGTGCAGGTCTCAAATTCAGCAGTGCTTTGAGGTCTCAGGCATTGTGCCAAACACACTGTGTCCGAGGCTGGGGTTCTAATCCCAGGCACTGCTAATGTGTCAGACCCAGAAACAATCCCTGGCCTTGGGTTTCTGTTTCCTTCACTGTCATATATATATATACACTAGAGGCCCAGTGCATGAAATTTGTGCATAGGTAGGGTCCCTAGGCCTGGATGGTGATCAGGGCCAATCGAGGCCTTCTGGCTGCTGGCCGAGTCGAGGCCTTCCTTCTCTGGCTGCTGGCTGCCAGCTGGGGCCTTCCTTCATTCCACGCCACCCCTTGGTGGTCAGCGCACGTCATAGTGAGTAATTGAACTCCCTAGGGGACACTTTGCATATTAGCCTTTTATATATATATAGATGTCTATATATATAAAAAGCCAAAGACTGGAACACTGGAACAACCGGAATGACTGGAACAACTGGTTGCTATGACGCCTACTGTGCTGGCCAACCTCCTGCAGCCCCTCTCCCTGGCTGGCCCTCTCCCCGATCGGCTCCACCCACCCCAATTGGGGGTGTGGCCAGCTGGCTAACATCATGCATCCCCCCCACCCCCCGCCAGCCCAGCCCCCATCGGGCCAGCTGGACCCCCCAACCGTGCAGGAATTCGTGCACCGGGCCTCTAGTGTATATATATGACAGAAAAAGGAACAAATCAAGATAACAATAAAAATGGGTGGTATAAAAAGAATACAGGTTGTAAAACCAGAAAAATCTGAATTTGAATTCCTGCTTCATTGCATACCCACTGTATAACTGTCCATTCACACTCCCTCTTACAATATCTATTTCCAAACCCATATAAAAATGTTTGTGCTATCCACAAGATAAATAAGGGTGCATGAAGTTAAATAGCTCCAAATCCCATAGTAATATCAGAGCCAGGGGGGGGATTAGATTGGTTTTACTATAAAGTCTATGCTCTTTCCATTACTCTAAAGCTACAATGAATAAAGCAGCAAAAAAGGAAATGTTTACATGAAAAATACACAAATCTAAGTGGACCCTACAGATCACCTGGACACTGTTCAAAGTGTCCAGGTATTTACCTTTTGTTTCACTCTCTAAACATTTATTGGACAACTACTATAATCCAAACATTGTGTCAAATAGTAACAGGTGACTGTCTATGGTGGCATCCCAGGACTGTCTGGCCTTGAACGGAGCTCAGCTACATGAAAGAAAGGAAGGAATCCAGGATCAGTTTTGTTTTGTTTTGTTTTAAGGGTGGTCACAGAAATAGCACATAAAAAGGAATGCCCACTCTGAGATTAGAGATGCTGGCACTGGAAATGAAGACTTCAATAAAGAAAGGTTGTGTCACATTTATATTGATGGCTGCCTTGGAGTAAAATGAGAAATTACACGTGAAGATGCTTAGGGAAAAATTGTTTAAGTAATACAAATATCATGGTATTTTCTGTAGGTTTCTTTCCATTTGCTCCCATTTCATCAATAAAACAACAAATGCTAAGTTACATAATCCTAAACCCCACATTTTATAGAACTTGAATTTGGCGTAAGTCAAAATGCACTGTCTGTAGCCCTGCTAAGTCTTTCAGTTACATAAGGACCTTCTAGCAATAAACAAACAGTAGTTAAAAACTGGAGCAAATGGAACAAAATGCAAATATCTGTCAACTCTGGATGGTGAGTCCAAGGGTGTTTGTCATACTACTCTCTGGATTCTGCGTGTGATTAAATTTTTTCACAATCTAAGTCAAACAACAATAAGTGATGCTTGACATTTGCAATACCTTGGGCATTAGCTCTAAGTGAAAGCGACTGTCATTTTTTTTCTCTTTCAAAAGAAATAGATGGTGATATCCTCTGCCATCACCCCACCTGAATACTCAAATTTCCTCTTCTTTAAAGACTTGTTAGACTTTGAAACTACTCACCCACCTTCTTCTGTTATTTTTATTTAAGATTGGGAAATACATTTCTGGTGCTTTCTAATCAGTCTTAGCAGCCTCAGAACTCAATTTACAATGAAAAATGGCATGAATTTTAAGTCACATATTTTGTGCAGACGTGACTGTGCTTTTCTTTTATTGTGTTTGTACAGACTCCTACTTCTGCTTAAAAACGGAGGCTCCATTTCCATCTTAGAGAAATAACATGAGCTAATGGGGAGAATCCAGCCTCCATTAGGAAAGGCATAATGAAAGTCAAACAATATCTCCTTGAGAAGTTCCTTCTCGCCTTGCACTCCCCATGTCTTGTGCACATTTGCATGGCAGGCTGTTTTGTTTCTCTGTTATGGAAAACTTTCTACATTTCTGAAATTATGTTTCTTATGGAACAATTTGCATAAGGTGAAATTTGTCCACGTCTAGCATTAGGTAACGTAGCGCCACCTACTGACAGATCTAGGGATTGCTGTTATTCTTAGTCTATTCAGAGCCACACAGCCAAGTCTGGAGGGGGACGTCCCTGGAAATGGATCATTCACAAGCCAGGATAAGCCTTAGAGTGACTGAGATGTACACAGGCTGTTGGGAGGCGCAGAAGAGAGAAATCTGTGAAAGCCAGGTCAGAAAGGACTGTAGAGCCAAAGTCCTTGTGGGGGACCAGAAATAGGAGGCAGGAGCAGAGAATGTAGAGCAAGGGAAGTCATGGATTTGGAGGGTAACTGAGCACCTCACTATACTGGGAGTTCAGGGGTATGTGGGGAAAATGAAAGACGGAAAACGCAAAGGGGTCTGGTGATGAAGAGCCTTGATACCTGCCAGTATAAAAACATTGTTTTAGGAGCGTGTGCAGGTTAAGAACCAGGACACAGATTTGGGGTGCAGGTTTCCTGGGGGATACTAAGATGGGGCAGGGGGAGATGCAGTAGCAGCACAGGCCCCCCTGACAACTGCGCAGCCACTGGATTCAGGATGTCCCTGGGGAGGGGATGTCACCTGGGGACAGGCGGCTCCCTTTGGCTAAGAATTCCTGGAGGTGGTTCAGCTGTGAGCCCTCAGCCGCTATCACGCCAGGATGCTGGGCAGGAGTGGTGGGGTGCAGGCCTCGGTCTTGAAGGGTGGAATCTGGGTGACACGCTACCACATCCACTACAAAGGATACACAGGAATCTTTAGGCCACGGAGTTACAAGCTCTGTGATTATTAGTATTGCCAGTGTCAACTAATACTCACTGGGTAACTTTAAGGAGTAAATGGGACTACAGAGAATAACTGCTACAGAGTTGATTCTAAAAATCAGGTAATTGTTACTATTATATTAATATTACATGAAAGTATATACTAATTTTATTTAATAGGCTAAGTGCATAAATGTCATCCTATTATACAAAAAGCTACAATATATGAGACTGTTACATGCCAGATACTTATTCAGCCATGGCCTCATTTGAACTTTACAGCCCAGCCAGGAATAGCTCTCACCTCATTTTATGGACAAGGGCACTGAGGCTCAGAGAGGTTAA